CTAGGTTAGAATAATAGGATAAAAAAGGGACAATCATGTGATCACCCATTTAGTAAGTTGGCAAAGAGTGTAATGGATAGGATCCTAACATTGGTATTTGAGCCAGTTTAATTTTTGTGGTTGATAAAAATATTCTAAAGGAATATTCAACAGTGTTGGATCTTGATGGAGATTACTTCATTATCAGGTGGGAAATGGCTGCAAGTTAAACTTAGATAAGGAAAAAAGAGAGATTCAGTCAAAGCTTAGTGACTACATGCAGAGTTGTCTGTCCCAGGGAAAACAAAAAAGCTCTGGTTCCTTGACAGAGTAGTAAACAGAAACATGATGATGCTATCTTGTCAAGGCGGTATATATGGCATAGTAAATGGAAGAAAGTATCTAACACCTGCAAAATGGAAAAGAAACAAAGACAACATAAGAAAAATCGTTTTACCAATATTTGCGTGGGCTGACACCGGGATATGTAAAATCAAACCACTCCACTACTACGAAAGAGGTCGCCCCCAAAAAAAGGCTGCTAAAAAAACAAAAGATATATTATGATCAAAGGCCTAGAAAGATTGGAAAAAGCTACCATGTTCCCTAGGAGCACGCTAGTCTTTGTATAATCCACGGCACAAAGAGCACAGTCAAGAACATTAGTTTCTCCTTAAGGTTGACATTGGACACAGGTCTTCACAGTGAGAAGAAGTAAACAACACCACCACAAATCTATATTGAACTTTAAATTCTTGCCTAATCTTGGAGAAAAGATGTCTGAATCTAACAAAGCTCATGGATCAGGTATTCTTAATACTTAATAGCTCTTACTGCACATATATCGCTTTGGAAACACTATTACATCTGCAAAAGATGTTGGATCATATATTACTGAAGAAATAAAGCTTTCACAAAGCATTTACAACAAAGGTTTCCAAAGCACTCATCAGTAGAAAAAGGAAGAGGTCTAGTATATAGCTAGAATAATGCAAAATTCTAAATACTTGTTTTCGTCATTGATTACTCCATTTATGGTGTAGCAAACTAGGTGCCGCAGAAACCATTTACCGCAAAAATGGAGAAGAGAGGAGCTTACATTTGACCGGGCACCACAGTAGAGCTTTTCAACATCCCTGATGTTCTCAGTCTGAAAATAGCACACGAAGGGATGAGTCTTACTCCAATAGGACAACGGAGTATCTACTATTCTACAAGCTTGAACAAGCTTCCTTAGTGTGCCACAAACAAGCCACAAAATACCACTTCCTCAAAAGGAAGGGATTAGCATAGGAAAATAAGCATATAGGAAACTAGCCTCCTCCCACACTTTAGAGATTTTAAATCTAGAAATAAATATCGAATTTGTATCCTGTTCTAGGTCATAGTCATTTTGTGTGTCATGGAAAATTCACAGAGCATGACTGAGAAGCCGGAAAACTTTCTGGAATCGTCCAATGACAAAACATTGCACCCAACTTGGGCTGGTGTGAACTTCCGCACAACTGAAAACGTGTGCTTTGCTACGCAAGATCAGCTTCTCTACGATTACAATGCTTGTTTGAGAGCATACGGCGTTTCTGAGGGTGTGTTGTCTGCTTGGACAAACTGGACGTACTCTGGTGAGGCAACAAGCGATGGAATTCCTGATGGCGAAGGGAAAGCCACAATTTTGGGAGGGATTATGAAGTACATTGGCAAGTATAAGAAGGGACTCATGCATGGTCAAGGAAGGCTAGAGTTTAGCACTGGTTTATCATATGAAGGACAGTTTTTTTATAACTGCATTCACGGGACAGGGACTTATAAATGGCTCAATGGAGCAAATTATTGTGGAGAGGTAGCAGTTTCGTCTATTACTGGCATTCCAGAATCTTTTGCAGGTCTTGGATGGACTTCCAAATGGCGCTGGCATAATGCGTACCGATGAATGGTGTGAATACAAAGGGAAGTGGTTAAATGGATTAAGACATGAAGAGGTGACAAACAAAGTACTTATTCTTCTTAAAACGGAAACATTGCTTTACAGGGGACATTGACTTATGGAAAGCTTGGTGAATCGGTTTACTATGGACAATGGGAAAGTGATTACAAGCATGGGGAGGGTAGCCTAGTTTACAAATCTGGGAGTACCTATAGAGGCTGTTGGTTTAAAGGAAAAAGACAAGGATTTGGTCAAGCCGTTCTGGTCACGCAGTCTGTCAATAAGAAACCTGATATCTCATTAATGCATAGGCATTGGCGGCTGGATGCAAAGGCAGTGCAAATTTACAAAGGGGAATGGACAAATGATCTTCCACATGGAAGGTACTTGATTTCAAGGATTATCCACGTTCCTTTTATCATGTTCACTCATATGCTGGTGCATGATTTGCCAGTGGAACAGATATTTGGGCTGATGATAGTGTTGAAGAAAATGGTAACATTTTGAGGAATACATATACTGGAAGTTTTAATGAAGGCAAGAGGAATGGATATGGCGTTTTCAATTATGCAACAGGCGCTCTTTTTAAGGTAGCTGGCCACTTTCCGACATAACGTCAAAAGACACTTTTGATTCAAGGGGATATGGAAGAATGGCCAAAAAGAAGGACATGGGTGCCTAGTTTATCCAGATGGGACCTTACATTATGGACACTTTTCTCGTGACAGATATTCAGCTTGCAAGATGGCGTCAGCTGTTGAAAAAGAGGTAGTCAAAGTGTTTAAAAGGCAAATTTCGTAATTGTTCCGTTAGATTAGGCTTTGAAAGCCGTGCTAGAGGTTGACTCAAATATCCTAGAGAATACCCTATATATCTTTTTGCGATATAACAAAAAATTGCAGGATATTTATCTGCTGTACAGGTAGACTACATGCATGTATTTATTCTATGTCAATATTAACACGTCTGACAGCTATTTTCCCAATAATGAAAAAAATCCTTCTTACCTTGGTCGAACTCGTGCCTTGACAATGGAACAACTTTGGCAGTTCTGTCATGACCTACAGGTATGAATTATATGCAATGTAATGTCTGTAACTGTCTTCCACAGGTTGTAAAGCCAGGTTTGGGTTTGGCTCAAATAGATTTTCTCTTGCGTACATCATCTTTTTCCTGGGATTCTGCATCAGAACTTCATTTTCCCGTATGTTTGTTATGTATCATTTGCTATACACCTGCTATGTATTCTGCAGAAGAGACAATTTTTGTATAGAGAGTTTCTTGAAATTATTATTAAATTGGCTAGAGAAAAACACAAAACTATCTCTAAGCTGGAAATACAGGTTTGAAAATTATAAATCTCTATCTTTTCTAACTTTATAGCAGGTAAACACCTTTCTAGAAGCTAGCGTCCTCAGAATGGACGCTTGTGGAAAAGAGTCTCCATATACTTTCATTTCTTCTGATTTAATTCAAAAGGTTTTTGTGGATTTTAGTTCTCATATGCAGCAGTTTTTTAATGTTACACTGAGAGAAGTTGGAACCAGCGATGGGACAATTAAAATAGCATATCTTATACATTTCTTTTTGGTAAATGACACCTGTACTGTAACCATATTGAGATATTAATGTTTGCAGAGATTTGGTCCGGACCTCGTTGTTAACCAAGCAAGGGTAGTTGGAAAACTTGTTTATGGCCTGTACTATGTTTGTTTAGGTGATAACGATGATTTTAATGCATTTATGGATTATGATATTAACTTAAGGGAGTGCGAGCTCTGCCTTTATTTGATTGCAATGGAGGTATGGACGTTTTTAAAAATATATAAAAATAAATTTTAACTACAGCACAAAATTATTCCTGGAGGAGAACCAAAAGAAATTATTCGAAAAGTTCTTGTTGAAGTAATTGTTCCAAACTTGTCAACAAGCCTAGATGTTATTCTGAATGAACCGGTTGCATCCCCATCAAAGAAAGGGAAGCCTGGCGACAAAGGAAAAAAAAACTAAACCAAAACTTGGTGTACAAAGAATAATTCCTGGATGGTGTTTAGATTGCCAGCCTCAACCGGTTCCTGATGCTGTAGCATGGAGATTCTGTCTAAACCATCATAGCCAGACCTAATGGAAAATACTTGCATGATGGTTGCAAGTTACAGTACCCCAATGCTTTACATATCCAGTCTACATTATCCTCTCGCATTTCTCTTCGTTTTTTTTTTTTTTTGGTTCTTTGTACTAACATCATTCTTGATTTCTATCCATTATTTTTCTTTTTTTATATGAGCTCGATGGACTTTCTAGATGGTTTTAGATAAGCTCTAGACCAATCTTCTTATCTACTTGAATGAGAATGCTGTGGATCCCAATCTGGATAGCTTCTTTACACGGTGTATAGTGCAAACACTGCCACTGGTCCTTATAGGTTCTTTACAAGCATATGTGGCAGCTTGATGTGTTCCCCATATTTCTACTTTAGAAACCTTGCCTGTCTTCCTCCTTTATGCATTCTTTCCACACCTATCTTTGTATTAGGATGGCAAAGCATAAAAAGGTTGCAAAACCTGTTGAAGAAAATATAGGTCATAGAAAAGCTCCACGTAGCAAGGTAAAAGAAGAAACCAACACTCTCCTGGTTGCACGAGATTCTCCACATAATATATCGCTGTCAGAATATTTCAGAATGAGTGAGGATAGGCCATACTTATTAGGATTTCACCAGAGATAAGATGGCGCTTGAGATGTTTATGGGTATTTCTCCACCACTTTTCTGTCTACCAGGGGTTGCTTCTCAATGGTCATCTATTCAGCAATATCATCTCCAAAAGCTCGAAGTGTGCCGCAAAAGAGTCTCCTGTGAATCCTCAAGCCCAAGTAGCTTCTGAATTTGTGTATGGATGGTAGAGCAGTTCATGATGATTCTGCTGATTTGGCATTTGAGCATCCTTGATGACCTTTATAGCGTGGTTTACGCGGTGTTTGAGGTGGCTGCAACTTGAGATGAGCTGGACTAAACAGTGAGCAGGAAGGTGCCAAGGCTTGAATTGAGTGTTTTTCTTTCTTTTTAAACTTAGGAACACACAAGTTATCAAAATGGTCATTTTGGGGATACATTTGCTGAAGCGTCTGTCAAGGCCACGGCTTGCGCAATAAACTTGCCTGCATGCAGGAGAACAGCCACCAAAGTGTGCAGCTAAGGTCACTGCCACTGTGTTTCCCCAGTAGGCTGCAAGTGTACACAGATTTAAGAGCATCGTGTCACAGGATTGCGCTGTAGCTTCAAGTGCTTTGAATGTGAAAACCTTGCATGCTCTCACAACACCGAACTTGCTCTCGTCCAAGAAGTCTCGCAAGACACTGATGCTACTCCCTATCACAAGCTTCCCTGACTCAGACACAGAAAAGAATCCCACACCTGGGACACAAGTTCTAAACTTACTAAAAAAACACACTTTCAAACACTGGTAAACACTTCAATTCACAAGTGAGGTCCAGCCTAACCTCACGAGACCAAATTACAATGCTTTATACTAGCTAAGCCGTCATCTCCCTAACTGCACCATCTCTGTAGATGCCCGCATCTCAAATCCCCCGGACATCATTGGGTATGTTGTACTTTTCATCCTTCTAGGAAAACCGGACTGTTTCTCCTGCTAATGCCACTGCAAAATGCTTTCCACGCCTTTGCTCAAATACCGACTTTGGGTGGCACATGCATAGTAGGTACGTTATCCTTTGCTACTGTGTTTGCAATGCAGCCCCTAGGAGTTTGTGGTACCCCAATATAAAAAAGTAGATAAAGACGAATAAATTGTATGAAAGAAGCGTTGAACAGCGTATCCAAGCAAATTTCAAGTTCCAAATTCCACATCCAAATTCTACATTTCACGATTTACCAAAGGTGCGAGTCTCAGTCCCAAATTAAACGGTACCACACACTCCACGATCAAGAGGAAAGGATTAGCATAACACAATACATTTTAAAATTCACATGACAGAAGTATAGGCCTCTATCTGATTACCAGCAAGCATGGAAATTCATTCCTGGATAGAAGAAATCCAAATCCATTTACTGTTTTTGTTTAAATCAAGCATGCGGTTTCAGGATCATGTCCAGGTCCTGGAGCCTCTTCGACAGCCTTAGATTAGAGCCAGCTTGGCTGCTACTTTGGCTCGAGGAAGAGGTTCTTGACGGTAAGGACGAACCTGTTGCAGGGATTGTTTCTCGAGAATCTGGACGTTTGGTCGGAAACATTGCAGGACCTGCATTTTGTAAAGTTTTTGGAGGTACCAAAGGATATTCTTTTTCATAGCTGCTTATAAGTGGCTCCTCTTGTAAAGGATCCACGTCTTTCTCTTCGACAGCTGTTCTAATGACAACCGGCTTAGGCTCTACTATTGAATCAGGAGTAAGCCATGCGCGAATTGTGCTGTCCCATGAGCCTGAGAGATACTGCTTTCTGTGCGGAAAGTGAACGAGCGAATGGATTTGATCCTTATGGCCAACGTAGGTGCACAACTCCTTCTCCATATTCAAGTCAAAACCCCGAATAAAGTGATCAGACAGCATGCTCATCAGCACCAGCTTGTTAATTTCATCCACAAATAAGCAGGTTACCGGCTCTTTCTTATGACACATTGTCTTGGTGACACAACCGGCATCTGGATCCCACATTGCAATTTCTCCTTCATCTGACGCGGTAATCCAAAATCCGTTGTCAAGGTTGCACCACTTAATCTTCAAATTGTTAGAAGTGAGATAATGTGAAATAGAAAGTGCAACAGCTCACCATAATTATATTTCCTGTACCACCAATCAAGGTGGTTATTAATTTCTTTTTTGTGGCATTCCAGATTTTCAAGAAGTTTCCACCTCCGCATGTGGCTATCTCACCTCTGGGAGGACTATACTGCATGCCCTGCGGAATTTAAAAACGTTTATGAATGTTTGATGCAGAAAAATAATTTCAAACCTCAATGGGCAGTTCATGAGCACTTTCTATACCCTCTAATGGCAATCGAAAAGGTAAATTCCACCATCTGAGCGTTTTGTCATAAGATGCAGAAATCAAAAACTGCAGATAGAAAATTCACTTATTGGCTTACATAACGTCCATCAAAGTCTGACCTCTTCATTGTGAACGCAAAGTCCAACGATTTTTGCTTCATGACCACGAAGCACGTCCGGACCTGTTACCTCGCCCCCAGCTACCTGGCACCGTGATACAGTGGGCTGTGTATCAAGGTTCCATATTCGTATTTTACAGTCTTCGGACCCTGTAAAAATCCTGTAACAAAGTAATTGCTATAACTCAGTACCTGTCACCAGCACATCCGAAGTCGGATCATGGATCATGCATAAGACAGCAGAACCACATGGAGGGGCATACTCATGCATAGTCCATGAATCACAATTATTGCCAGGACTTGGTTTCCACTTAAGAATAGAACCATCTGCACCCGCACTGTAAATTTCGGTATCTAGTAACGATCCAATTTGTGGAGCAGTCGGAGATATAAAGGTTTGGTGTTGAACAGGAGCTTCAGGTTCTGGTGATGACGAGGGTGATATAGGTCCATCGCCCACGGCTGTAAAAGTAACTCTTTTAGGACCACCGTTATTTGCTGCGTCTTTTTTCTTTGGCTTCTGATTTTCCTCTTCACTTATCTTTGGAGGCTTTCGATAACATAGAACTACGCATTCCACCCAGTCTGCATGTCCCTGAAGAACACGATGTGGTCCAAAGCGGTTAAATCTCCAAATAATTAGTTCCAACCCTCCGCAAACTCCAATCGCGAGCTCTTTATCAGCAGCATGATATACCTAAAACAAATTGGGAATGTATTTGTGAATCAAAATAAACAGCAGACCTTGGTCAAAGGTAGATTACGAATTCCACATGTGTCAGCTACCCACTCGGTCACGTCCGATGGAGCCAAAGTGTCAATAATTGAAGGAGTGCTGTGCTGCACATAAACATTTTCCAGCGTCGCGGCATGTTGGAAAGCACAACTTACTTTTTTCGACCTGTAACCCATAAGCACTTGGTTTCGGGGATGTATGCAATAGAAGAAACAGAGTCCGTTACGCCAATAAACTCGTCCATGCAATGTCCCTCGTGGCTCCAAATTTTGATAGATCCATCATACGACCCCGTAATCAAAGTTTTTGCATCTTTATCATAAGCTACTGCAGTTATTGCTCCCTATACGAGAGATGCCAGTTACAGCAATCAACCGATGTTAGGTAAAACCTCAAAGTTATATAGAAACATAAAGAAGGTGTGGTACTTCATGGCAGTCCGTCAAGCGCATCATTGTTGTTCCTGGCTTCAGGCTCTCGAATAGACAAATGCATCGATCGTGTCTAAAAAAGAGCTATAAAGAGAAAAGGTATTGAAGAAGTAGCTTACCCAGCAGTAAATACGTTTCCCACATGAGAACAGCAGACACCTTGGACTATGTTTTTGTGGACAAAGCTGAATATGCTCGGTTGCATAAACTTTACCTGCAATCAACACAAAAGCAGGACACCATGAACACCAAAGTTGTTGTAATTACGGTTCCCATCTTCTGGCTCGCAGAGCCCGACTTAATATACACACTGGCAGAAGAACGAATCACACGGTAAAGCTGCACGACTCCTTTTCCTCCGGCTATTACATGCTTTCCTTTTCCATCCCAAGCCAAGGAATAGACAGGTCCTCCGAACTCAACAACCTACGAAACCATAAACGAAGTCTAGTATTATGAGAGAAAAGAATAACATGAATGTACCTGAAGCAACTTTCCTTTATCCGACCATGCAAGAACTTTACCGTCCAACGAGCACGAGAAAAGAATTTTCACAAGTTCGGAATATAAAAGATCTGTAACCCATGCTTGATGACCTTCTTGAATTCTAATCTGGCTCCCAGACTCGACATCCCAAATCTAGTCGCAGAAAGGTCATGGTCAGAAAATTGTAAATTCTTTACTACATACTTTGATAAGGCAATCCTGTGACCCACTGTAGACCTCATTCCGGTAATTATTGAAGGCGACGCAGAGGACTGATAGTTCATGGGCATCAGGAATGCGGCACCTGATTTCCATCGCCATTCTTCCATAACCCTAGAAAGACTTGAAAAGAGCAAATATAGCCCGATATTTGAGTAAGCAAATAATGTAAAGGCGGCACCACCGGTTCTACACTATGATCGAGTTGTAATCCCATCGAGTTTTTAATAATCTGTTACACTTGCATGTTTTGAAAGAATTTTAATCTGGGTGATAAATCCTATGCACTTGTCCAGCCTTACACTTGAGTAGGACTCCAGGATCCCAGCTCCACTATAGTAGAAAAAAATCGTTTGATGAATGACCCAAAGCTCCATGCATGCAAAATGGAATCATTCTATGATAAATTTTTCTCCGTCCATCAATCCAAAGGGACTGCAGCTGTGAAAATAGACAGAAAGTTCACTTAAGGCAGTTAATAAATACATACATTTACAGGTGGGAGCACTTCTATAAAAATTATAAAAAGTAAAAAGATGATTAAGACTTTTCCTTTTGTTAGTCTATTTCCTGATGGCAATGCTTGCAACTTTGGGCCCCAGGTGGACGCTGGTGGCCGCTTTCAGGGTTTGATTTGTCGGTGCTTCTGCACGGTTTCCAGGTGGTGTAGTTCCACCCGCTGGCTGCTCTGGAGTGTTGGCCTTTGGAAATGGAGAGGAAGCGTTTGTTCTCGGGGGACTTGGTGACCGATTGGGGTATAAAGAAAGCTTCTCATCTCGTTTCTCCTGTGGAAAAATTCGTTATGCTAACTAAAGATAATCGTATTCCTCACATTGTTGAACAGACGGTCGGCCGTGAACATTGAAAGCCATTGCTTTGGCATCATGTTTGTAGGCAGGTAGTCAGACCGGAAGGGGTGCAGCTTCTCAATTGAATGCTCGCAAGACCTGAAAAAATCCTAGTGAGTTTGTTATCAAAACGGAACGAATAAATGCAAAGTTTTTCCACTTACATGCACTTGAAACCAAGCAATGGTTTGCCAGTGAACATAGCATTCTCTGTCAGGTTTGCTCTCACGAATTGCCAAAGCTCCTGCATGCTCAAAAGAAGAAATACTACATATAACCACACGAAACGGAAAATACCTCCATAGCTTGCTTATCAGCTTTTAATAACTCCATGGACGATAGCAAATTCCTGAGCTCCTCTAATCCCGTACGCAAAACATCCAGGTCTTTTGTTCTTACATTTTCCTTCGCTCGAATTTTCTTTTCCTTCAGAGCGGCCTGAACAATAGACATCTCAGCTAGAAAGCCATAAACAGAATGGTAAAATCTGTAACTTGCCTCAAGAGCGGCGAATTGGCTTTCCAGTGGAGTAAGCGAACGACGAAGTTCTGAGGAAGTGCTCGTCATTTCGGTTGGACTCTTCATGCTGCTTTGCCATGGAGCACCCGCGCTGATTTCCCCACTATCAGGTGGATTTACGTTCCGAACAAAGTTGTCACGGCTTTGGGTATACTCTCTTTCATCCAAATGACATGCTACTTGAACAGGAGCTGAGACGATTTGCACGATATCCGGAGCTTGACCACGAGTTTGAGAGATGTCTGGAGCCCGTGCAGGATAGACAATCTGCGAGATATCTGGAGCGCTATATTGCATGATATGTGGAGCTCTATGCTGCGCGGCGTCGGGACTTGTAGCATAAACAGGAGCAACATCTCGAGCTCTGCTGTTAGCAAATTCCTGAGCCCGGCCAGATGTAGCTACATCCGGCTCTTGGGACTGAAGGAGGACGTCTGGTGTAGCTCTCATTGGTGAACTAGTCACAGGGGTGTTTGGTGCTGGAACTGATGGAGGATCCGACCTGCTTTCTACCACTGCAGGGGAACCGCTTTCTACGGCATCTCTGACTGATGTGGCATGATGAACCGCTGCTTTGCTCTCTGCAACTCGAGCATAAATGCCATCCGACCTACTTTCTTTTGCTACTCTGTTTTCTGCAACCCGACTGGAAGAAACGTCTTGCCTGCTTTCCACCGTAGGTCCACCCTCTAATACTCCAGCAACTTCTCTTGTATGAGTCTGAAGAGATTGATTGACAGTTTCTTCAGTGTCTTCTGTTGGTTCGCTCCGCTGGACAATGATCAGTTCTGTCCACATTGCTTGTGTAGGCTGCAGAGCAACTTCAGCCGTCCCTTGAATACGCTGGTGGTTTTCAAGGTTTTCTCCTCGTGAAACCGGATGATTTTCCCTGCTCTCTAAATCTCGTGATCCTGTTGCTCCTGGCTCAGGCTCACTGCTAACAGATTCCAGAGCTTGTGGCTGGCTAAAGCCTCGAGCTGTCGGTGCATGGTTTACTGCTAGTCTCGGACTTTTTTCACGTTGCAAATCTCTTCGATCTGGTGCCCTAGCAGGTTTTGTTTCCACAATCTCTACTGGAACTCTATATCGCATTTCAGCAACCTGCGTTGCGGACTGAACAGCCAAGTTCGTAGCCATAGTCTGCTGTGGCTCGTGAGTAAAGGTACTGGTTGCGGTAGGGTCATGTACGGGCTCAACTCTGGTCACAGCTGATTCAGACCTTGTCGAAGGCCTACTTAATTCCGATGCCTCATCCTCTTCTAGTTGAGGCTGGAAAGTACTCACTATCCCCATGTGAATTTCTTCATCGTCATCATGCCCAGACATGATAAGCACTCCTTGCGTAAGCTGTATAAAAATATGCCAACAACATATACATCAGAAATATAGTACCTGTTGCAAAACTCGCTCGTGATCGTTCAACGTGGTAGTAACTTCGGTAAGCATTTGATGAAGTATTGACGTTTCATCAGCAAACTGAAACTAACAAGATGAAGTGCATCAAAACAAAATGGAGCTCACAAACCTGTTTAAGAGACTGATTGGAAGAAAAAGAGGCCGCTCTAGTCTTCCTATGTTGCTTCAAACTGTCCATTAAGTCTTTTAGAAACAAGAAAGAAGCTTGGTCAGCTTTCTTTTCTAGTCGTTCCTGTAAAAGCACTCAATGTTGGTCCTATTTCATAGCACTACTAGATTTTCACCCCAAAATGTGAAAGTAGATCATTATGCTTTGAAAGCATCGCTGCATGATCATTGAGTACACTGCTCGTGTCGGGCACAAAGGGTGTACTTGGCAATAACAATGCCGTACGATCCACCTGTTAACCACAACATTTAGAACAATCAAAGCGCTGCAAGGACTACCATTAGACCCTTGATCTCGTCGATAGCTTCAAATAATCGTCTGATGTCATCGTCTGGAGTCCGAGAAGCCTGGAGTCGAAATGCATTAGAGTTTCATAAGGGGTGAACGCATAAGGAGTACCTGAGCTTGGAGCATCTTCCGCACATCAACTAGGTCACTTCGGTCGGCCTTTTTCATCAGCATGTCCTGATTGTAGCAACGTTTGAGTGGATTGATACACGAAACTCATTACCGTAAGACTCTGTATGCCAGCAGCATCAGCTACTGCCTTTGGATCTCCAGAGCCTAACAGGCTAAACTTTAGCTCAATTGCGTCCAACCGTGAACGGTCAGCTTTGTTATTATCCTGGAAAACAAAAAAAAGGGGTAGATAAAAGCTTCCAAAAGCGCCATACCATCGTCACCAAGTTTTCCTCCGCCTTTTTTAACCGAATTTCCATGCTGTCCAGCATTGGACCCTGCATATATTCAATCATAAAAGACCGAGCTCATTTTTCTGATGTACATACTCCAATTGCCAGCGACGAGGCTCTCCTTCTGAAAGCATTCATAGTGATTCCCATTTGTTCCAGTAACTGAAAGGCTAAACAAGGTCAACACCTTGAACCAGATGACAAAATACTCACGTCTTTCATCCGTTGCACGTCGTTTGCAACATGACTGACAGCGTCTTCCTCAGCTTTTCGAGACAAACGGTTTTGGAATTCTGCCAAAGTGGCTTCTAGCCTCGAAGAAGCGTCAATGTCAGCAGGTGCAACCACTGGAACATGAGGAGCCAGCAAGGGCTTTGAGTCTATCTCTTGACGCAAACCCTGAAACACAACATTCAGTTTATAGTAATATACATTCCAGATGTATTTACCGCGTATGACTTCCGAAGGGTCTCAAAATCCGCAGTATGCACCTTGGTTAGTTGCTGAATCAAAAGCATCAGTTGCTCAATCTGGAAAAACATGACGAGATTAAGTACGGAATTTCGTCTAGGTAGATCGAAGTACTTGTGTTTCGAGATTATTGAGGTGCTCGTTCTGCTTCGAAAACATGGAATTTAGGGAATCGAGATCGTTTCCCAGTTCATCCAGTTGTGCACTCTCAAAGTCAGGTTGAATAAGTTCGACTTTTGGTTCTGGTGAGACATCTTGCACAGGAGATCCTTGCTTACCCATCATGGAAGAGAGCTTTGCAATCCGACCAAAATCCACTGCACGAAAGGACTGTTGTAAATTGGCTGTTGCCGCATTCAGCTTTTTCATGTTTCCTTCCAAAGCATCCATCCGTTGTGGTAGCGGCTTCAGCGGTACCAGCTCCTGCTCAATCACTGAGACCCGTGTAGTCAAGTCTCTCATAGCAAGAATGCTGGCAGCCAGCCTACATTCAAAGTTGAAAGATCAAAACGATAAACACAAAACTTTTACTCGTCTTGTAAAGTCGCTAACTGAGTTTCGAGATTTTTCGTCCGGTTTTCTTGGTCGTCAAAAAGCTTCAACGCATCCATCATAAAATTTTGCTTCTCCGCATCATTCGCTCTGTCTTCCTCATAGCCTTTCATGACCCTTTTGCTGTGAAAGAAAGAAATAAGGTAAACAACCAGCAATAAAATAACAAAATGAACTACCAGTCATCAAGCTCAGCCTGGAGATCAGCTAGATGCTTTTCGTGATGCTCAACTTTACTCAATTGCAGTGCCTGTAGCATACATAAAACTTCTTTCCAAAAAGTTATTTGCGAGCACGAGGAAAAGGAGAGAAAGTACCTGTTTGTTAAGCTCCTGTGTTTGAGCTTGTATTTGAGTGCAGAGGACCTGTAGAAGCGATTGCATCTTCTCCCAGTGCAAGTTCCCGACCACGGTGACATGCTCGATCGAGAGCATA